AAAAAAAAAGGCATCCAAGGATTTTTTAACGAGCGCTAAAGGTCAGCAACTTGACTGCTTGTCCCATCCATCCAGCAGCACCTCTGGAGCTGCAATTTTCCACACTGACTCAGAGGAAAAGCAGCATCACTTAGTTGTCCACTCACACTGTCAAGCCCTCAGTTTATTTTGGAAGTTCTTCCAACTCAAGCCGGCTTTGTTTAATTTGAGGCTGAAGGAGAACAGACTCGCAGGGCGCGGGCGAGAGGAGAGAGGGAAATCACAAGGCAAACACTGAGTCATCGAGGGCAACCATGCAAGTCCTGCTCCCCCTTGGTCAGAGGGCCACCAGTGGCGCACTGGGCTGGACCAAACGTTGGGAGTTTGGCGATTCCCATCCAAGATCCCCACTGAGAGAACTTTCTAAAGGATTGGAAAGATTCAACGAGAAATATCAGGGTAAAAACTTCAGTGCAGACCCAGGAATACCATTAAAAGGTGTGGCAGCTGTCGACTTTACGAAAGGGAATTCCCAGTGCGGGGGCAATTTTCTGTTTGCACTTGAAGTCTCTGTGCCTTGGAAATTTTTTGGGAGAAAAATCACTAGGGTTGACGCCCTCGAGATAAAATCATGTGCAGGAGATAAGGATCCATATATCCTGTGCCCCATCCTATGTTCCAGTCTCCTGGAAACAAGAGATTGTTCATCTTCCCCAAACACCAGAATAAGGCTGGAGCTGGGGAACGTATCGACAGCAGAGAAAAAACCACATCTCCAGCATAAGGGTTCTAAGCTGCTTTGCTGGTGCTGGATCACAATCCCACTTAGTGGGATTGGTTATGGAAAGAGAACTCATTCCCATCCCTGGAAGTGTTCAAGGCCAGGTTGGATGGGGCTTGGAGCAACCTGGGCTAGTGGAAGGTGTCTCTGCCCATGGCACAGGGTTGGAATGAGATGGGCTTTAAGGTCCTTTCCAAACCAAACCATTCCACACTTCTGTGATTCTGTGGGGAGACTTTGGTGAGGGTGGAAGGTGTCTCAAAGCAGCAGGTACTGCCCTGGTGTGAAGAGTCAAGGACAGCAAAGGTTTCCTTTCTCCCTGACTTTCAGAAAGGATTTAGATGCTGTTTATCACCAGAGGATGTTTTCACCCTCATGGGAACAAATTCTTCTGCCACAGTTGATCCAGATTTGGGGATACTGCTCTCAGGTGTAGTGGCAGAGACACAGCCAGTCACACTGGAAAGCCAAAAGGTGTTCCAGCAACAGGTGACTTTCCAAGCTCCAAGAATAGCATCTATATGACTATTCACCTGTCTTGAGAAAATGCACCAAACTTCCAAATCCACTGACCACAGATCTCTCCTGGCTTTTCCAGAAAGGACTTCAGTTATGCAAACAACATTTATCAGTCCACTGAGTGTTTTCTAAACCCAAGTCCTTCTATTTGTTATTCTTGGTTGTTTTTCTTTTCTCTTTATCTACCCGAGCAACGCTACCTTCAGGTCTGTTTTTCTTGCCTACACTTTTTGATCCACTTCTAACTTTTAAAACAACATCTTTCATCACACACTTTGAAGGCAGAGTTTTCAAATATTTTCTAAATTATAGCCCCGAGAGTTAGGGGGCACATTTCCTGGCACTCCAATCTGTGTGCCAAAACACAGAAAATATGAAATTGTAAAGCGTTGTCTGCGTTTCTCACGAACTCTGATTAATTGAATATATAAAATTAACCTGAGCAAAAGAAATTTCCTCAGAATGCTTTTAAAAGCTTGATAAAAGTTCTCCAGATAATCATTGCTGAACAGCAAATATTGTGTTACCTTAAAGCACAAACTACAGATCTGTCCTCACTAGACAATAGCCAGCTCTGCTGGCAGATGAGTGCATTTGGGATTAGGTATTCTCTATTCTTACAGTTTTACCTAATGGAAACTTGTAGCGTGTAGTAAATCAACTTCCAAAAAAAGATACAGCATGATGCAAGGAAAAATATCTGATTTTTTTAGAGAGCAAGCACACTGCATACTCCTCTTTCAGCTTTTCCAATTCTCCAAGTTTTTACTTTGGCACCCACACCACTACTAGAATATATTGGAAGTTAAGTGTTTTAAAAGGATTCAGTAATCTAAATACATCCCTGAATATTGTCCAAAATGTCTTGCTCGGAACCAGCCAAAGTAACTAAAAATATTTCCTTTGACTTCAGTAAAGTTTGGATCAAACTGTTAATGTGTGACTGCTTTGCTTGTCTTAGTGTAAAACAGATCTTAATACGGAACACGTTAAAGGAACATCCTGCATTTTCATTCTCCCTTCTTTCTCTTTAGCCTTGCACCTTCCATGGCTGGGTTTTGTGCTTCATTTGCTTGTGTTTCCCTTGTTATCTTTGGGCAATGAGAAAGACGCAAATTTATCCCACTTAATTCTGGATACTTAGCAGAGGATCTCAAGCCTGGAGCCTCATCATGCCAAAGATCTAGGTGTCTCTGGAGGACAACTTAATGGATCTAAAGGCTGAAGTCCCTCTCTTTGTCTCTCCTTCTCTGTGAACTAGAGAGGAGCCTATGGAAATGGATTCTTAGCTTGGTCCCTCAGTGCAGGACCTACAACTGGGCAGGAGAAATCTAAGCTCAGGCATGCAACCCCACCCAGTATCCACTGGGAACACTGGATGGTCACTCACTGCATTAAACTGCTTCCACCCCATTTTTCCTGTTGAAAAAAAAACACCTCTCCAAGAGCACGGCAGGGTCAGGACAGAGAGTGAAGTCCCACATACCCAAGCCCTCTGCCCAACCGTATCAAACAAGCATCTCAGTAGTCAGTCTACACCTCATTTCCCACAAGAAGGGCAGGAAGACAAAGCATCTGGCAGGGATGCCAGCTCTGTCCCTCCCCTCCTTGTCCTCGGGTTAAAAAGCATAACATAAAAGCAACTGTCCGTGGTTTCTCCTCGTCCTGTGTTTGCTGAGGGAGGCACCTGGTGCTGGGCTGTGGTTTCAGGATGTGCCCTGTTGAGAACAGCTCTGCACAAGCACAGCTCAGACTCAACTCCACTCTCAGTTCTCCCCTCCCCAGGCACTCCAAGCCTGTCACTGGGAAATGAATGGATTTTCTTTCCCATCCTGTCTGGTTCTTTCCTGCAAGGGAGAAGAGCAGCTGCTGCCCTCCCCATCCCCAGAGAGGTCTCCCCACTGCTCCTCTAGGCAGAACATTTATAACTGGATGTGAAAGAGAAAAGAAAAAAAAATCAAAATTCTGAGTTTATGAGAATGACAAACACTGAGTCCAAGGATTTTAGGAACTATATTAATTCATTGCACAGAAACTGTGGCCAAATTTGCAAAATTTATATGATGGAGACTTAACACTGCCTACTTTTGCCTTTGTAGCTCGGGGAGTTACTGACTGAGGAGCAAGAAGACCTTTACCCCACTTTACAAATGGCCAGTTTTAGGGCTTTTGGTTAGAGGAAGGAACCAGTTATCAGGATTTCATGGAAGCAAAAGGGAAAGACCAAGCTCAAGTGCTACCAAAACCAGACCTCCCGTGTTTAATGGCACTTGGACCTCTCGAGGAAACCACTTGGGTGGATCCCCTGTCCCATGTGGTTGAGCTGTTCCCTCTGCCAGTGGTTTCAGAGGAAAGGATCATGTATCACACACACAGACAGAGCCTTCTGGAGTCAATAAAATTATTTGCTTTTCTTCCCCAAAGTGTTTTGAGTCAACCCATCAGAATTTCCAAGACGGTGGCAGGGCGGAATAGCTGCAGGCACCAGGCTCGAGGGAGGAAAGCAGCCAACTCAGAGTAACACCAGGGTGGATGACACTGAGCTGCTCAGGAATCACCTTAACATCAGATTTTATTAGGTTTTCAAAAACTGGCTCATCTTCTGAATTAGCTGTAAAGCCACAGCATGCAAAAACCATTTTAATATTTTGCCTAGATTATTTCAGAAAAGGTACTGTATCTGCAGTTTTATGTCCCAAATATCCCTTCAGTTAGGTAGATCTTTCAAACTAGTTCAAGTTAAAAGCATTCTGCAAGAAAGGGACTACAGAAAATATGTGAAATACTTGTTCTTAAGAGATCAGGTGAAATAAGTGACTAGAAGGCAATTTCCATTTATAGTACTGTGTGTACTGCAGTGGCTACAGCACTGCCTCTGACAGTGGGATGATTTCAAGTTTAAAAGTGTATTTAGACTTTTTTTCTCCTATTATGGTACAACAACAACAGCAAAATGACAACATTTTGAGGAGGAGGAGCTGTGGGCAGGCGGTTTTTAGGCATCATGATGTGAGCATCTGGCTGGGAGAGGGATGAAACCTGTACCCCTGTTACCTGCAGCTGCCTCACATCTTTACACTTGAGAATTCAGGGTTTGTCCCATTTTTGCACAGAAGCACACAGAAAGGGCAGCTGGGATTGTGTCAGGCAGGATCTGAGCACTCTGCCTAATGCAACAGGTGAAGCTCACACCTTTGGGGACAGGGTTTCTCTTGCTACACATCTCTCTCTGCTCCCACCGGTTTTCATTGCAGTCATCATCAGGTTACACAAATCATTAATTAGTTATTGAAAATGAACCACATTCACAGAAGCCAAAACAACACTGTTAAATGCTCATTAATCAGCATGTCACCTTAGAGACCCTCAGAATCATGAAAATCAGGCAACTGCCAGAGATTTCAGTGTTAAATTGTTGCCAAGAGCCACCTTTCAGCAACTTGGATGTAAAAAACTGAACATAAGCAAAACTCATTCTGACCAGAACGTCCTAAAGCTCCGAAATAGGGGTGGGGAGGAAGGACCATCCCTATGACACAGATCCATCCTGGAATCAGGCAGGGCTGAATTCTCTGCTACAATAAGCAGTTGGCTGCCTGAGGTCACCATCACTACCCCCCCACCACACACATCCTTAGTAGGTTACAGGTGTTACATTTCTACTTGGGAAAAAAAAACAAACAAAAAAATAAAGAAGGAGGAATTAAAAGTTTCTACTCACCGCATTGAGCCCCAGGAGGTTGTTTGGGAGAGAGGAGGTGACTCCTGACAGAATTGCCGTGGCCACCACTGCCCCCAGGCACTGGGCAAGGATGTACATGAGCGCCTTGAAGATGCTGATCTGGCAGCTGAGCAGCAGCCCCAGGGTCACAGCCGGGTTCAGGTGGGCCCCGCTGATGTGGCCCACGCTCTGGGCCATGGTAGCGATGGATAACCCAAAAGCCAGCGAGACCTTCACGTTGTCCTGGGACCTCGTGGATGTTTTGTTGCCCACCACGGGGAAGCTGAAGCCCAGAGCCGAGCCAATGCTGATAAAAATAAAGAGGCTCATGGCAAGGAACTCAGCCACCACTGCCCTCCAGAACATTTTCTTTTTGAACTCACTAGCCATCTTTCCTCTTTCTCTCTCTCCCCTCCTCACTTTCCCTTCTCCCTCTCTCCCTTCCTCTGCCTGATAGTTTTTCCTTTGAGGTCTGAAGAGAAATCTGGAGGAAAAATACAGTCCTTGGATTATTTATAGGGCTTTGGGTGGTCTGTAGGAGGGAAGGGGTGTTGCACAAAAGGAGGAAAGAACATCTACATAGATGCTGACTGTTAGATTGATGTAAGACACTGTTTGCCTGCCAAAGTTTTTTCTTCCTTTTTTTTTTCTTTCCCCTCCCTTACCAGCGTTCGATCTCTGCCGCCGTTTTTAAGAGGCTTTTAAAAATTCTTGGAAAAATCTTTAGGAGCGCCTCAGGAATTTTTTTTTACCCTCTACTTCTCGAACTCCTGTGTCATCATTCAGCACGGGGATTGGAATGAAAGCTTTGATGGGATTTCTGTCTCGAGCCGGACTGAAACGAAAAGCAAAGTTATCTGTGCAGGCTGGTGAGTTATTCACGCTCAGCTTCAGCGGCAGCAGAGAACAGCTCAGGGTAGTAAATGAGACTGACAACTAAATCCACACTCCAGGGACTTCAGTACCTCTGTTTTATTTGGAAACAGGTAGAAATGTCCCTTCTCTTGGCTCTGTGGACTTGGAGGTGTTTTGGATGCCAAGTCGGACGGCTGTACGGACACACTTGTGGATTTACACGGCTCACACGAGCTGGTGTTCACTGAGCAGGGATCAGTTTTAATCCCAGTGTAAAGCTGACATAACACTGAATGTAAGCTGGAAGCTTTCTGTGAATGCAAGTCGGATGCCGAGGGGGAGGTGTTTGTTCTTTCTTTGTTTTTTTGGTTTTTTTTACTATTTTATTTTAATTTATGTCATTTCTTCGCTTTTTCTCTCCAAAGCACAGAGGTGTTTCAGGGTTTCCCCAACCTTCCTCTTCTGACCAGCAGGAGAAAAAAAGCCAGTTTGGGGTCTTCCTGCAGTGAAAACCTGTGTGTCACCACCCTGCTGAGGGTCAGCTCAGCTGTCCCGGTTGTCACCAGGGAGACTGGCTGCTGCCTCTGAGCCACAGGACTGGCCAGAGAGGGGGACAGAGGGGAGAGCAAGGGAGAAGGGAAATTACATGCTTGGTTTTGCAGACAGAATGAATTTCCCGGCAGTGCCAGAGTGTCTCTGAGAGCAAAAGGTCCGAGTGCCTGGTTTATCTCAGCGGGACTTGCACACACGCCTCGGATTAACCCCTGTGCTCTCAGATCTCTGCCCGCCTTAACAGCTGGGGGCACCTCCATCTGTAAAAGAGGGGGCTTGCTCAGGCTTCAAACCAAGGAAAATCTGATCCAGAGTCAGGAACTGATTCCCTGGACACAACTCTTGAAGGATGGGTATTTAAAATCAGCCTACTTCTCTGCCTCCTCTTTTTTCTCCCTCTTCCTCCTTTAATGCACTGGTAATGTCCTCTAAATTATACTTAAATTAATTCAAGGCTTTTTCATTTGGACAATATGTCAGTAAGAAGGAAAAATCAAACACACACCTGGATAGTATTAGACAGTCAATAAGGGGTTTTAAACTACATTCAGTTTTCAGAAGATGATTCAGTGACAAAGCTGAAAACTGCTTAAACAGGAATCCAGATGTCTGCAGCTTGTCACCCCCAAGTTTTTATTCTTCCTAGGCATCAGATGTTCTTTATTTTCCATATATAGCCAACTTTATTTCCTTCTGTTTTATAATGCACTTACACAAGAGAACTGTACCAGTGAAAAAAGGAAAAAAGCAAAGAAAAGGGCAATAATTCAAAATTATCGGGTTTACCCTTCTAATTACAGTGGGACTTCAATGAGGAACCATGTGACAGACAAATCAAAAATCAAATTTAGCCAAATAATGGTAGATGGTGGAATTTTAATACAAGGTACAATTGCTTCTAGTTGTATCCTTTTCAGTGAAACTTTTTATTTACTGCAAACAGTCTCTGAGGCTTGGAGATCTTCACTGAGCAGCTTCTCTGGTCCTACCAAACAGGTGCCCAAGACACAGGGCATGTATCACACACCTCAGGGAACTGGACACAGCAAGAGCTCTATGAATAGTTTACAAGAGTTTCCATGTGTCCCAAATTGGCACCTATGGGATGGACCTGCCCAGATAGTCAGCCCTATCCACAGGAAATTCCCACTTTACTCACTTCTTCCTACAATTAGGAACTGGATGACCAAGCAACCTCTGTATCAGTACTGATAAGGTGAGGAAGAATCCCTGAAAGGAAAATTTCTAGAAGCCAGGAAAATAGCCATGGGAAGTACTGCAAAATGCTTCCTTGATTTCTACAGTCTCCTCTAAATATCCCTGACTGGTTTGGGCCAGAGACTGGGTACCAGGAAAGCCAGACCTTTAGTCTGACCAGTGGAATATATGAACAACACACAAATTAAATGTGCCTTAAGAGGAGCAGGCTGGACACTCACCTTGGTGTGGAACCAAGGTCACCTCACACTTGTATTTTCATCCTGAGACTCCTCATTTGTCTCTTCTTAACTGTTACCCACCTCTCATTTTGTATTTTGGGAGTTGGTGCCACAGTAACCCAATAAAACAATAATTCAGACAGAAAAGAGAAAAAAATCTGAAATAAATTAAAGACAGAAACGGTTCCAGGGAATATACACATATAAAAGAGATGGGTGGAGCTATTATCCAATTTTTCCATCTATGCTGTGATGTGAAGTAAACCATGATCATCTCTGCTGTGTTGTTACTAATTGCCTGCACAAGGATGGTACCCAGAGCCCCTCAACCTTCAGGTCTGGGCAGAAGGAGCAGAGACAGACTTGGCCTGTGTGTAGAAGAATCACCAGGAGGGGAAACAGAAGGGGATGAAAACAAAAGAACAAATCTATTGCACAAGAAATAGAGGGAGTTGTGGACCAAATAAATTGTAGAGCAGCGTAAGTGTAATGAGGAAAGAGAAAAGACAAAACATGAGTAGAGAAACCAGTTGGACTTCTTCAGCAATATCCACCACGACACAGATTTAATTGGTGCTCTACTCATTATGCCACTTTTCCACGAAACAAACTCCATCCCACGTTTCTCAGGCTGATGGCAAAGACCCCAGTGCTTGGCCAAGCAGCCAGAGGCCTCTGAACCCAGACCCCACAACCACCAGAAGCCCAGAAAAAGGACAAACCCCAGTTTCCTGCATATCAGGTAAGCTGGGATTTGTGCAGACAGCTTTTCTGGGCATGGTTTTATCTTATGCACCAAATCACACTTGAAGGTGGGGTTTAGTTTTTCTGGAAATAGAGAGAGATGACTGCTAGCCTTATGTAAGTGTTTAGGACATGCAATTAAGAACAGATCTGATGGGAATGAAAGGGAGAAAGTAGCTCTTTAGCTGAGGGGTGTTTCTATACAGATGATTTAAACCAGTGTACTCCCAACAACTCTTTGATTTAGTTACACTAGAGACAGTTGAGTGAAAAATCAAGCTCACAGGACTGGATATTTAATTGCCAAGATCCCAGGACCAACTCATTTTTTTTGTCTGAAACCAATCAGGTTCTGGAGGGCTGTAGCACAAATCTCCTTTAACATTTCAGTCAGAAAACAAATGTACTTGTAGTTGGAGTGGTAGGTTTTGTTCTGTGCTCCCACATGTCAAATTGCTCAGGATCACTCCTTTTTGAACAAGAAACAAATGTCAGTGACTTCAGATTTGGTCTTGGCTAACATGAATTCTTGGGGAATTTCCCTCTTAGGTGAAGGAACAGTCAAAGTTGAAGGGCAGAAGGAATGTGTGTCAGTCCAGCAGTCAAATGATTGGAAGAACCAGGGGAAATTCGGCAAACCACAATTATTCTTCTCCTGAGAAGAATTAGTTACCCTGTGGCCCTGCCAGACAAGTCTTTTAGCAGGCAAGCAGCAGTTCCAGGAATACTCCATTTTATACAGTTTCAGAGACAACAGCAATTCCTATTTCTGCCCTTAGACTTTCACCCCTCTGGGGCATCACCAGCTCTCACCTCCGTGGAGAAGAGCAAAACTGTGAAGCAGGGAAGAGCTGGAGCATCTATGTAATCTTGCTCCAACATTTCAGAAATGGGAAGGAGCCCAGCATTTCTGGTTGGAATGAAAATGTTTTCCCCTGTGTTCTGTTCAGTGCTCTCCATGCAGAAATTGTAGCTCACAGCTGGGGTTTCCAATAAGAAAATAACGCCACTGAATTAGATTTGCACCAATATTCAGGAGTTGATTCCTGGGCTCCATTCCCCTTCTTGGTAGAAGGAGAACATTTCCATTTTGCTGTTGTAAAAAGTACAAGGTGGCCATTGAGTCAAGAGAAAGACACTGGGGAAAATCTCTGCAAGAGGTCCCTGAGCACAACCAACACCTAAAGCATGAGTAAAGTGCCCAGGAACTGGGAGGGGCTTTAGACTGAATCCCTGGCTTAACTCTCCAAAATCAAGGAAAGATGGAAGATTTCAGACACATCCCCCTCTCCAGCATTTGTTCCCAGCCAGTCTAAGCACCCACTTGCTCCATATGGGAACTGCTGAAAATTCCCTCCTTAGGGACTCGGCTGATTTTGTTCCCTGTATGGAAAACTCAGAGCCTGCAAAATCCCCCCTTACAGAGCTGGACCCTGGAATTGCTTTGGAAAGCTGGACCTGAATTATCAGGAACTCACCTGTGAGGATCAGCAGTTATTTATCAACCACATGAGTCACCTGTTTTGTTTGGGAGACGAGATGGGATGTCACCCTCTAATGAGCAAGATTCAAAGGCATAAAGTTCACATTATTAATTTTCATTTAAGTACTTCCTGATTCAGTGAAACCAAAGCAGGTTCTAAAGACTAAAGTTTTTCCTTTTCTTAGAGAAGAAAAGTACCTGTACATTCCTCCATGTTCACCTGGATAACATAATTCTCTTTTTGATGGATTTTGTTTTAATTTTTCACTAGATATGGATATGTTGAGCCTCATTTTTATTTTATTTTTTCCCTTCAGAATAATAAAACTGTAGAAAATTTATCAGTGTATATATGACTGGACAAAATCTGTGGTTGTGCAATAAGCGAATGAAATTCAATATCAGCAGAGGCAAACCTATT